GCGACTGAAAACTGTGGCATTGTGCTGTGTGGAATTGCATTTTTTTGCATTTTTGAGTGGCCTTTTATTGTGGCCAGCCTAAGGCACACCTGTGCACACCTGTGCAATACCTAAGCTGTCTGATCAGCATCTTGATATGCCACACCTGTGAGGGGGATGGATTATCTCGGTAGAGGAGAAGTGCTCACTAACACAGATTTTGACAGATTTGTGAACAATATTTGAGAGGAATAGGCCTTACATACATAGAGAAAGTCTTCGATCTTTGAGTTCAGCTCATAATGAATGGGAGCAAAAACAAAAGTGTTGCGTTTATAATTTTGTTCAGTGTATTTTTAGTCACATTAATGGCATAGCTCTATGTGATCATTTCGATATTTATCTAATTCCTCCCTGATCAGGCATGGTGGTTATCAAGTCTGGAAATAAGACTCAGCTCATGATGAATAGGGGCAAAAACAAAATGTTGTTGTTATGATTATAATGTAAAACTTAATAATAATAATAAATAAATAATAACAGTTTATTTGTAACACACTTTATATTTAAACAAATCCCAAAGCTAGAAAAAAGGTAGACTATGTAGTTGTCAACATGCTGAATATATAACACAGTTATCTTAGTATTGCAGAAGAAAATCCAATACCCAGAAGATAATAAGAGAAGACTTCAATATTTTAAGGCCAACCAAAATGGTTATTTGAAAAAGTTTCATGACATAATTAATGCAAGTTCTATTACTAGTAGTAAATTGAGTAGTTAACCACTGCAGCAGTTAAGGCTGCAACAGGTGATTATTTTCATTATCAATTAATCTACCAAATTAACATCTTTAAATTATTTTTTATGGACGACCAATAGCCCAAAACTGAAAATAAAATGTTTTAGCTTAATATATGATACCCAATAATGGGGTATATATTGTGCATATATATACAGTTGATTGAAATGAGAAGTGTGAGTGCACATGTATTTCTGCTTTTGTGTGTGAGCATCTACAGCATTGGAAAGTAATTACAATTTTGAGGTACTTGTATTACTTGATTATTTCTTTTTTCTGTTACTTTATACTTCTACTTCAATACAATTCAGAAGTGTTTATTGTACATTTTCTCCACTACATTTATACGATAACTTTAGTAACTTTGGAGATTCAGAATAATAATACAAAATATTATCTGCAAATAAACAAGTTAAGACTTTATTCATCCACAGCCGTATACAGAGTAATTAAAATGAGCTCAGTCTTCACCAGCTGCAGCATGAACACATTAAAAAAATCAATACTTTTACCTACAATTATAATAATATAAAAAATACAATTACTTTTACTTTTGGTGCCTTAAGTAGCCTATATTTTAATGCTAATACCTTTGTACCTTTTGAATGCAAGACTCTTACTTAAATTAAATTATTTCTACACTGTGGTATTACTACTTTTACATTAGTAAAAAAAAAACAGTACTTCCTCCTCCACTGCCTGCACGTGTACTGGTATTGACCTATGTCACATTTACCCACATGAGATCCTTAACAGTCCCCATCAAACTAAGCCAGTGATATATGGCATAGCTTTTGAACTCATGCAGTGATACCATTGTGTGTGTGAATACGATATGCGCATGAGTTTGTGCATGACACTTGATGTTCTCAGTTGGCCCAATAGAAGTGAGGCATTAAGATATGTAGCATGACGTGTGTTCACATCCAATAATACCGCAGCAGCAGACATAGCAATCATTGTGTCCCCGGTAATAACTTACCCTAGAGTGAGCATGTCGGTCTCAGCTGGGGGAGGCCTGCTTCAAAGGTTGCCGTATTGACTTGACGCTCAAAAGTTTTTTTAGGAACTGAGGGAAAACTTTGGAGGAGTCAGAATGGCCTGTGCAGCTCCCTGGGGTAAAGTGTGATGCAGATGACCCAAAAGGAACACCCACGCTAAAAATATGAGCACATAGTATATACAAAAGCATGCACATACAGAAGTTACACTTACCCACAAGCACGAATACAATATATAGACCCACAGATGCCCTCCAAAATGTGTTTGTAGTCTCACACATGACTTTTAACACTCATTCTATCACGTGAAAACTAAGACAATTTTATTTTTAGCTTAACTATGACACAGCCACTCCATACACAGTTTGTCCAATTGATTTCGAAATGCCAAGGAGTTGTTCAAACCATATATTGTAGACTTTCTATTGAACTTAAAATAGAACTCTCACAAGATGTAGACACACAGACACACAAGCTCCTCTGTTATCCAAAAGCGTTAGATAGCTTAAGATGGAAAGTAAGACTGGTAGGTTTGCATATAGATGGATACACCATGTAAACAGATATATTCTGTAGATATAGGTGGTTAAGTTTGTAGGTAGGTAGGTTGGTAAATATAAATGTAGCTGAGGATTAGAGAATAGTAGTTTTAGGGTAGTAGCAAGCTGCAGCATGGAACTCAAGATACACTCAGTTGCCACTTTATTAAGGATGCCTAGCTAAAACAATTGCAGGCTACTACAGTACAGTCTGGCTATAAATCCACCCTCCATGAAATGAAATGAAATTCATAATAACATTTACTTGAAGGCTTGGCACTTATTATTTCTTGAAGAACTTGAAGAGTATCCGTCATTAAATGGAACTTTTTCAAATATGGGCAGCAAGAGTGGGGAGCATATTTACTGAGAGATAGTGATATGATATGAGAACTTTAAAGAAAGTTATCCTTTTCATAATGGTATGTTTCAGTCTGTCCGGCACTGTGTAATAAATTAGGCAGGACAGTAGATCTGCAGGTAGAAAAGTGATGTAGATTTTTAGATGTGGCTTGAGACCCAGCAGCTGTCTATTCAGCAGTGATTTAATGCCTGACATGGGTGAGCCTTGTGGTTCAATAGCACTAAAAGGCTCATCCTGTCTAATGGGGTTCCACTATGACGCAGACAAGGAGAGGCAACCCCTCCCCTTCTTTTACTGACATATAATCCAGAACATACACACAGATTTACACACATAGAAAAGCACAAACACTTACTGTACATCTATTAATTTTGTCCACTGTGGAGGGACTGTGAGTGCACACAGACACACATATACACACATGCTCACTTGTGTGCACACATATTTTGTACACACGCACACACATGCTGTCCTGCACACTAATGAAAAGGAAGGGAATAGAAACGACAGTGCACAACAAACAGTTGTGTAATTGCTTTTGAGAAACTGCTCTTGTTGGAGGCTGACATCGATTGGTCTTTGCAGAGGACAACTCATTTACTCATTGAGTGGGAGGAGGCCCGGGCAGCAGTGATCATTACTGGACTGACTGACTGACTGTGGTATCACTTTATTAACTCAATATTATTTGTAGTTATTTGTAAGTTTCACTGTAGTGGGGAGGGGTGTTGTCATATCTAGCTGAGGCTTTACTGCAGACACAGTAGATGCTGTGAGAGGTGAAATATGTTTAAGGTTAGTCACACTGGTTTCAGTTGGAGAGGAAAACTGGACAGTGCTTTGTAGTTTGAAAGTAGTTTGTTAGATACTCTGAGCAGAGTTGATCCATATGGTTGAGTACATGCTATGTAAAGTGCCATGAGTTCAATATTTGTGATGAATCACATTATATTGGCCCCAGTCAAATAATTAACAAGCTGATAACATAGGCTGATTGTGTGTTAGATGGTCTATACTGAGCTGAAGCGTGTGGTGCTGGAGTTGGTGCTATCCAAACAGCGTTATGAATGAAGAACCCAGGAGTGCGTCACTGTGTAGTATATATGCCTCCCCAGCAGATGGCCCCGCCTGCAAGTGCTTAGCTGGGAGGGTGGCGGTGGTGTTGGGGGGCCCTTATTGATTTGGCATTTGAGATATAGCATGCAATGTAACATTTTTGGAAGGTTTTTAAAATATTTATTGCTGGTGATGCTTCTCTACGGCCACCAGTTTGCTTTGCCTCCTATTTAATTAATGACATCAATGCAAATTGGGGATCGCAAATGGTCCAAATGACTGGTGGATTTTGTGAATGGAGCACTTAGTGACTGAGGAATGACGTCAGTGCAAAGCCATATCCCCTATTAATGAGCCAGGACTGAAAGGAGTCATCCCATTGGCTCCCCAAAGCATCAGAGCGACGTGATTGGCTGCCAGCAGATAATTAAACACCTACACAGTCAATGCACAAATCCAAGTGGTAGGATATATAGGCTGGTGCGTTGGCGCTGCATGCAACAGAATCAAGAGTTGTCCCGCAAGTTGAGAGAAAGTCAACTTATTGTGTTTTGCAAAGAGATACATAGAGATATATATATATATATTTTTTTTGCTGGGCGATTATCACTGAAGGTAAGTATTGACTTTTAATGTTGGGCGATGTTTTGGAATGGCTGATTGACTGTAGATATACCTAATAAGCTGTTATCATGTGTGTGTGGACACAGAGTCTCTGTTAGACTGCAGTGATGTGATAGTGTTGGTAATAGGATTGGAGTGTGGCCACTGGGGTCACCAGCATCACCAGCACCCATTTTGTGAGGGTCCAGTTTGCTGTTTGAAGGCCAAAGACCGAGACAGAGTGAAATAGGAAGAAGAAGGAAGAAAGAGGGTCAGACAAAAAAATGAGAAGGGAAGAACAGAAAGTGAAAAAGAGGAAAAGGAAAGAAGAGATGGACAGAAGGAACCAGGTTTGAGAGTGTGTGTGAGAGTGAGAGAGAGAGTGTGTGTGTGTGTGTGTGTCAGAAAGAGAGTGCTGGCAGCTCATTACACTAATGCACTGCTCCCTTAGGGAGTTGGCAAGCTTGGAGCCCCCCCCCCTTTCACCCCTCCTCTTCCAGCACTGGCAAGTGCTACATGCATTGCACAGTGTAGGACCCCCATGGACTCTCACACACACACACACATGTTCCCACCCGCAGCCATGTCACACTGCAGTGTACGACATGAGAAAACTACCTGTCCTGTCCCTCTGGATGTTTTGGAGGAACAGTGCGTTTTTTAGAAGAAGAATAGGTGGGTGGTGGGGTGTTATGTGGCTCAGTTTTGAAGGCGTGTTGTGTGCAAGTGAACGCAAGGATGTTCAGCCGGAAACCAGAGCTAAATAGTGGCAAGCTGAGATGTGGGTAGAACTGTTCTCACCTCTCTGGGAAGTGACAGGAAGCCCGTTTTCTTGTTACAACTTCTTCGCCTCAGCACACAAGGATCAGTGTTACTTTCCAGATGTATGTTGGGTTTTGTTTTGTAGATTCATCTTTAAATTACTTGAAATCTTATTTTAGCGGTGTGTAAATGTGAATTGCAGCAGTCTTGTGCACAAGGAGCTGATGGAGGTGTCTTTCTTGCTGTGTAGGGGACCATGGTTATGTTGAAGATCTCTGCTTTCCTCGTTGCCTACGCCCTGGTCATTTGCCAGATGTACTGCTCACAAGCAGCCCCCGCCAGGTGAGACACTCAACCTTCACATTTTTCACTTCAAACTCACAGCTGACCTGATGCATTTTCCAGTGACTTAAAATATGTGGGAAAATAGAATGGACCTAAATTCCAAATTGTTAGAGTCACAAGCAACCAGTAGGAAAGAGTGAAGGGAAGATGCTAAATGTAATGTAATAATATTTTTTACTGAGGGAAACAGGTAGAGTTTATAATCACAATTTTTCCAGTGGCGCTAGAAAAAAATTAAGTAATGGGAGAGGATATGTGTGATGAAAAGATTGAAGAGGTGCAAACACTTTCAAAGATATGTAAGCTTAAAGCATAGTACAGGTGTGTTTTATGTGCATGCACATAAACTTTAAATATATTTCTTTTCGTCAATCTGCTAAGTTTAACTTTACATGAGCAGGATTAAATAAAGGCTCAGTTGGGAGTTATTAGGTTAAAAAATGTATTTAGCCACATATTGTACTTTTATTAAAAAAAGAATGTAGATCCCATAAATTTAATTTCCTAATCAATATATAAGGTTTGTTTATCCTGTTATACCTCTAATTCAATGCGATGAAATTGCTCCCAGTTTAAGTGTTAAAAATGGAACAATGGAAACAAAAAAAGTAAAAAAAAAAAAAAAAAGAAGAAAAAAAAGACAGGGAATGTTGTGCAATCCACCTCAGGGGGAGATGAATGAGATCTATATATTTATATGAAGCCCCATTGAAGCCATTCTCCACACTGATCCCATGAAGCTATCGATTTTGTAATAAATCTAAAGCTGGTTGCACATCAGCCCCTCTCTCAGATGGGGCACTTTCCACAGATTGTTTCCCCGCGTTGGCTCGGGGCCCTCCAACTCAGACGTCATCCCTCTCAGAGTTGGTGACGTCCCAGCCAACCCTCCTGACCCCTCCTCCCCATGCAGCCACTCCCACCACCATACCTTACCCTAACACCCCAACACATATCCCCACCCCTCCTTTTAAATGCAGGTGATAATTCTAGCGAAGTGCTGATCTCAATGCCTTTCCTGCCCCAACCCCTCTGACCCCTAAACCTCCCCACTCATCTCTTCACCGCAGACCGGGTTTAGAGTCTATGTCAGACCGAGTCACGCTCACGGACTACGAGGCGCGAAGGTTACTCAACGCCATCGTCAAGGAGTTTGTGCAGATGACGGCGGAGGAACTGGAGCAGCAGGCAACTGAAGGAAACAGGTACACAGATGACAAACAGATTACTCTTCTTTATTCTAACTCTTTTTAAAATAAAGTAGTTTAACATTTTCTCCCTGCACAGGAACAGCTAATGAAAGGTTTGACTATAATAACAGAATTGAAAGTTAAACAGTGAAACTTCTTTGGCCTAAATTAAAAGGTAAAATAGGCAGCTCATTTTTGGGCCACCATGCTGGACTTTGTGTATGTTTTTAGAGACCATATCATATTCTGGTTTTTACTTTAACACCACTGAAGATGCGTCGTTCTAGTGCCCCACTTGTGTTCAATCAGGCGTAGAGGTATGTACTTCTAAGCTGACCATAAGAGAAAGGAACAGATAATTTCCAAGAACATAAGTTAATACACACACACACACACACACACACACACACACACACACACACACACACAAAAAACAATTCTCTGTCATGAACCTGCTCCCGCATGGATGAGTTTGATTTTGACTTTGTTTGAACGGATTACTATTTCCAGCCTGCCTGCTGGGCATGTGAACAGTGAATGCCTAACGAAACAAATAAGTGTGCATGATGTCAATTAAGTAGAGTTGCATGACAGTGGGAAGCGACTGGTTTCTGTTTGTTCTGTGGGTGTAAAAGATGTGACGAGTGGGCTGACTGGGATGGGGGTGGAGAAGGAGGTTTGGCGCATGAGGGAATGGATGACGTGTTCTTTGAATGGTGGGGAAAAGCATGTTGCTGTAGGGGGGGTGTTTTTTATTTTTACCTTTTATATCTGCAATGGCATGAAAAAGAAATGCATGTGAGAGAAATGGTGTGTGAATGGAAGGAAAAAGAAGATTGAAGAGATGAAGAAAGTGTTTTCTGCATGTTTTCCCATACCTATGAGCCTGTTCTCTGCATGTGTTTTGTGTGTCCCCTCCCCAACAGCATGGGCAGGCCCCTAACCAAGCGCTGCTCCAACCTCAGCACCTGTGTGTTGGGCAAACTGTCTCAGGAGCTGCACAAGTTGCAGACGTTCCCTCGCACGAACGTGGGAGCAGGAACGCCCGGCAAGAAGCGCAGTGCGCCTGACAGCGACAGCTATGCAAGCTACGGCGAGACGTTTGACAGCATCTAACCCCTCGTCATCCTCCCTTAGCACCTCTTTTACCTTTACTTAATCTTTTCCTTTCCTTTTCTTTCCCCTTTCCTCCTCCCCCATCCTCTTCCTCTCTTCACCCCACCTTCTTCTTTATTGTTTTTGGATTGGAAAGTGCATGTTGATTTTACCTGCTTGACTGACATGAAAAGAATTTAACTGCAACCAACTTTTCAGTTCTTTTCTCCTTCCCCTTTTTTTGGCAGACAATCAGACTTAGTATTCATAAATGTAATTCAGGAGCCGGTTCAGACATCCATCTCTGTGTACTGTGCGTGGAGTCATTTGATGGCATTTCAAGCCCCTGATATTTAAGGATTGAGAGAGAACGCTTAATCTAACCATTAATAAATGATCCACTCATGCGACACCATGTTTCTTGTTCAATAAACGTATTTTTCTACCAGGAAGCCTTAGCTCATTTTCATTCTAAGGGATGCTTTAAAACAGTCAGTGGGTACTAATTATTTATGACATAAAATGGACATAGATAAAATTTTTGGAGCATGCAATAGTTCCCTTGAAATTATCTCTGAAGCTGTCATCGAGTTTAAAGGTAAGAAAAATGACAAACTTCAGAAAATACATGATTGAACCTTGCATGCTTGATTTGTATTTTTAACCTGTACATCCTAGCTTCATGTTTTTTTGGTGCGGTGAAGTTACTGTGAAGTTAATGTTGATAAAAATTAACTGTATGCAAATATACTGTGTCAGCATTGTATGGATGAATGTCACACCAGATCTTGGCATTAACCCCTTGTTTGCTTTCCTGAAGCAGCGTTACAGCACAGAAGCGAGCCTGCAACACGGCAACCTGCGTGACTCACCGCCTTGCGGATTTCCTCAGCCGGTCGGGGGGAATGGGCAACAGCAACTTTGTCCCTACCAATGTTGGCGCCAAGGCCTTTGGCAGGCGGAGGAGAAGTGTGGAGAAGATGTGAGCACTCCAAAACCTTCAGGAAAACAGTAAATAGTTTTTTCTTTTTCTGTTTTTGTTCTTTGTGATTTCTACCACTTCGTCATTTTGTGTGGTTTGTATTATCCATCACTTGTTATCATGAAGAGTATCGTCAAGAAATGAAATATTTCTCCATCTGCTAATTAAAAAGGATTTAGAACAGAACATTATTAAAATCTGAGTAAAAATACCTTGATTTTTAAATAATTTTGGATTCATCATGTAATGATTTGTAAATAGAATAAAAATGAACACTAGTCTGTATTGTTCTTTGGAAGTAAAGCTTTAAATTTACTTAAATTTCTTTCTTTCTTTCTCTTTCTTTCAGAGGTTGAATCCCGACAAGATATCATCAGAAAATACCTGAGAACAAAAATCAACAAAAACAAAATCAAGCAGAAAATAAACACTCAACTGGCCCTTTATTCACTCCCACACATTCGTACGGGGAAAAAAAGACGCCACAGGACTTCTCGTCCCCATTTTACATCCTTTTAGTGAAACCTTTTGCTTTTGGCAAATACGAGAAAAAAAGAGAAAAAAAGCACTTTTAGTTTATGTACATGAACAAATGAACTTCTCAAGAAAGAAAAAAACATCCTAATTGTCCCTCTTTTTTATACATGACTATCATTGGAAAATAAAATGAAAGCAGCAGTGGTTATCACCTTATTATTTCCTCCTTTCACCTTGTTAGAGCACATGTGTTCCATGCGACCCATCTCCCCCTCCCCATTTGAGATCCATATGAGATACATTTTCCATAATTCCCTTTCCTCCTAAGGGTACCCTGTTTTTGTGTGCCAGAGGGACGCCATTAAAGATCAGCCTACCCAAGGCCCCCCCACAACGGCTGTTGTCTTGTGCCTTGATGTAGAACAATTTACATGAACATGATTGTACAGTTCTGTTTCGAGACGATAAAGAAGACCTGAGCGAGGATGAAGAGAATGAAGACAGATTAATATTGTAAACAATATTGTGAAAACAAATTTCAGCAAGATTAAAATGTATTTTAGATACACTCGGGTTTGGGGTACTTGTGTTGTTCTTCAAAGGTTTTTAAGCATTTAGGTGTAGAAAGAGCTTGAACTCTTGAAAGGGTTGGTTATTTTACGAAAAAGCTTAAATTTGTTTATTTATTGCTGGAATTTTGATTAACAATGTCCATAAATCATAAATGGTAAACAGTATGGCATCGGTCAACCTCATGTGAATAGAGTGATTTGTAATTCATTGGTTAGAATTTTGACACTACTTCCCACTGACAGATAAACACTCACATCCTGAAAACTTGTCAAACAAATCTGTTATTTGGCAAAATATTGAAAATCAATCAACTCTACTGCTGCACAGTATGGGTCACTTTGTATGCAGCGACCGTCTGCAGGTTTTTTCTGACTGACACCACAGCAGCATGGATATGTTAAGTTACATGATGATATAAGAAAAAAACTGCATGGGTAATTGCTTAATAAAAGGCAGCCAAACCTGCAGTCAGACTTGTTCTTCTTCTCAGCTCCAGTTGAGGTAAATGCACACCACTCAGTTCAATCAGAATCAGTATATATATATCCATTTACATAAATTATGTATTTGAAGCAATATTTTTATTTTTATGCACCACATCCATCAATATATTTCTTAGTTTGACAGGACAACACAACACGTGTTCTCTTTTATTTCAGATACAGCTTACAGAATAATACAGTGTTCAAGCTGTCTTTACATACTGTAGTTTACCAGCTGACAGACTGGCTCATTATTAATAATCAAATTATTAAAACTGGTGACTAAACATTTGAGGGTTTTCTTGTTTTTACAGCAGCACTCCAATAGGTGGCAACATCATAATTTTGTCAAACGTTTCATTGGAGCTCTGCAGAGTCACACAGGTCTGACTCAAGTCACAAAAGCATTAAAAAAAGTCTACACCATTTATAAATGTTCAGCATGTGGTCTGAGGCTGATAGATGACAAATGATAAGTTAAAGGAGAAAGGACACAATTGATTAAATGATTACATAAGGTTTCTACACTATATGGTGTTTGAACAGCATCATACTTTTAGGGCGGTCTGTACAGCAATGAGGTGTAAATATCATGAATAGAACTCATCAACGCTTCATAACAAGGATTGATGGTTTTAATAGGTTTTGATTAATGAAAAATGGTAAATTGCCATTGAGAAGGTCACGTGACTTAAAAAGTATCTTTCTGCTGCTGCTGACACACACAATACCTCATAGAAACAAACCATGACTGTGTCCAAAAATCATCTCTCATTCACTACTAACTACTCGAGTAGGGAACTTCTGTCTGGCAGTGAATGCACTAAAAGAAAAGGTTTGTAGAGCTCTCTATGCAATTAAACAGAAATTATACCAATTAAATTCTGGTGTAAAATGTTTGACAGTGTAATTGAGCAGATTGTGCTCTATGGAAGTGACATTTGGGTTCCACTTAGTCATCAAAACTACAACAAATGGAGAAGCATCCCATTGAGACCCTACATGCAGAATTCTGCAGAAACATCCTAAAGTCTCCTACAAATGCATCTAGGACAGAATTAGGGTGGTTTCCACTGATAATACATACCAAAAAAAGAGCACTAAACTTTCTGATGCACCTCAGATCAAGTCCCCAAGGCTCCGTCCAAATCAAGCCTCTAAAAACCCAAGAGCTGAACCCAGAAAAAAGTCCCGTATTCCAGCTATTTCTGAAATTAACAAATCCTACAACATGTCACACACACCTAACACCTTCCTCAAGCCAGCACTGTTTTACAAACACAAATTAGAGTAAACCAAATGATCACTCAAAGCAAAAATACTCATTTGGAACATTGGGAGGAAGAGACAAAAACCCCCAACACAAACTTGTATGTTATCTGGCCCTAAGGAGAGATTATGAAATGGCTTGATATCTCTCTACTTGTCAGAGATGTCAAGCAGAGGCAGCTTCTTACCAAGTACAGTGACCCTTGCAATTGAAAAAGGGAGACCTAAAAGGTCTGTGAGCACTGTATGACAGGTGAGGTGGAGACAGAGACACATTTTCTCCTGAAATGTGATACATATAGAAGCATAAGAGAGAACAATTTTAGAAATTCCATCTATTAATACCGGATTTCAAAGAATTAGAAGATAACAATGAATTAAGAATAATCCTAGGAGAAGGACATACCGCAAACCTTGCCACCAAGTTTGTTGCGGTGGCAGCCCGGCTGACGGTGAGTGCCCTGTGTTCTTTTGTTTCTTTTTCCTTCGTCTTGCATTTCTGTTTTTTCGGCCCACTATTTTTACCAGTTTTTAGCAAGGACCAGGCTCTGTCTCTACCCCCCCACCGCCCCTACGACTGCTCCATAGACCTCCTCCCGGTTGCGCCTCTCCCTTCAAGTCATCTCTACAACCTGTCGCATCCAGAGAGAGAGTCTATGGAGCAGTACATCAAAGACTCTCTGGCTGCCGGCATAATCCGCCCCTCTTCCTCAGGGGCTGGCTTCTTTTTTGTCGCTAAAAAAGACCAGACCCTTCGCCCCTGCATCGATTACCGGGGACTCAACGCCATGACCAAATTAGATTTAAGAAACGCTTACCACATGGTGTGGATCCGGGAGGGGGACGAATGGAAAACCACCTTCAAGACCCCCCATGGTCACTACGAATATTTAGTCATGCCCTTCGGCCTCACCAATGCCCCCGCAGTCTTCCAAGCGTTAATCAATGACGTCCTCTGAGATTTCCTCCACCACTTCGTCTTCGTGTATCTGGACGATATCCTGATCTTCTCTCGCGACCCTTCCCAACATGTCCAGCATGTCCGTCTGGTTCTGCTTGACTCTTTGTCAAAGCCGAGAAATGCGAGTTCCACGCCCCCACAGTCCAGTTCCTTGGTTTCATAATCGAAGGGGGGCGCCTCCTTGCCGACCCGTCAAAGATTCAGGCGGTTGCAGATTGGCCAACCCCCACCTCTGTAAAACAGGTACAGCGCTTTCTTGGCTTCGCAGATTTCTACCGCGATTTATCCGCAACTTCAGCACCGTCGCCGTCCCCCTCATCCGTCTCACCTCCTCCTCAGTTCCTTTCATCTGGTCTCCGCCCCCGTCCTTACCAACGCCGACCCCTCCCTTCAGTTTGTGGTTGAGGTGGACGCCTTGGACGTGGGCGTAGGCACCTGCCTTTTCCAGTGCTCCCCTGTGGACGCCAAACTCCACCCCTGCGCCTTCTTTTCATGCCGGCTGTCCGGGAGCTGCTGGCTATCAAACTGGCTCTGGAGGAATGGAGGCACTGGCTTGAGGGAGCAGAGCACCCCTTCCTAGTCTTCACTGACCACAAAAACCTCTCTTACATTCAGACCGCCAAGAGACTGAACTCCCGTCAAGCCCGGTGGGCCCTGTTCTTCAACAGATTTAACTTCACCCTCTCATACCGCCCCGGGTCCCACAACACCAAGCCAGACGCTCTCTCCCGACTCCACTCCCCAGACACCCCTTCGGACCCCCCTGACACCATCCTGCCTCGCGCCTGCCTCGTTGCCTCCGTAGTCTAGGAGGTGGAATCTGCTGTTCGCCGCTTCTCCAAGTCCGCCCACTTTGTCCCCTTACCCAAACTCCCCACCTCTCTGGAAACTGCCCGCCTCCTCATAGACCATGTTTTCCACCTCCACGGCATCCCCCTGGACATAGTTTCTGACCGGGGCCCCCTATTCACCTCGCAAGTTTGAAAGGCCTTCTGCCGCACATTTGGAGCCACCGCCAGTCTCTCCTTCCGGTTATCATCCCCAGACCAACGGACAGACCGAGCGGGTCAACCAGTACCTGGGGGCAGCGCTCAGGTGTGTAGCATACCGTAGCCCCACCTCCTGGAGTTCCTACATCCCCTGGATCGAGTATGCCCACAACCCCCAAATCTGTGCCGCCACTGGTATGTCTCCGTTCATGTGTTCCCTGGGTTATCAACCCCCCTTGTTCCCGTCACTAGAAGAGGAGGTAGTGGTTCCTACAGGCCCATCTTCGATGCTGCCGCAGAGTCTGGAGGTAGGCCAGGGCGGCTCTGCAGCGCACTGCGGCCTGCAACCGCCAGTTGGCGGACCGCCACCGGACCCCTGCGCCTGAAGGAATCTGCGCTTTCCTCCAAGGATCTCCCCCTACAGACCTCCTTGAAAAAACTCACTCCCCGGTTCATCGGCCCTTACCCCATCGAGGCCATCATCAACCCCTCTGTGCGCCTGACCCTCCCTCCTCACCTTAAGGTCCACCCCGTCTTCCATGTCTCCCGAATCAAGCCCGTTTCCACCGGCTCCCTCTCCATACCAGCGGCAGCGCCTCCCCCTCCTCCAATAAGCGATGGCCACCCTGCCTACTCAGTGCGCTGCCTCCTCGATGTACGACGGCACCGGTACGATACCGGTACCTGGTGGATTGGGCCGGCTACGGCCCAGAGGAACGTTCCTGGATCCCCACCAGCCAAATCCTGGACAAGTCCCTCCTGACAGACTTCTACCGGGCCCACCCTGAGAAGCCGGGGTGCCCGCCTGGAGGCGTCAGTTGAGGGGGGGGCCCTGTTGCGGTGGCAGCCTGGCTGACGGTGAGTGCCCTGTGTGCTTTTGTTTCTTTTTCCTTCGTCTCGCATTTCTGTTTTTTCCCCTGTGTCTCCTCCCCTCACCCTCTGTGTGTGCTCTCTCCCTCTCCACCCGGAGCCCGGCTGATGATCCGCACCTGTGTCTCGTCAACCTCCACCTCCGCCCGCCACACCTGCCAGCCATCAACCTCATCTTCAACAGTATTTCTACCCCGGTTCTCCACTCCATCTCCGCTTGATCGTCGTCGCTCCAGTCCTGGTGCCACTTCTACGTTCTGTGTTTTCTTTCTCCCCGCCAGGTCCACTCACCTCCGTCATCCAATCAGTCAGCTGAGCTCGCCTACCTGCCTTCTCCCCTCGCCTCCGCGGCATTCCCCCTGCTTCCCTCCACACTCCTCGACCCTCTTGCCTCGGCCTCCTGCCCCCTCTTGGTCACCTCACCTGAACCTTTCCAGCCCCTCGGCTCCCACGTCTGCCGGCGTCCAACTTTCCCCTTTTCACCTCCCGTCTCTCCTCTCCCTTTTTTCCCTCAATAAACCTCTTTTGTAAACTGACAAGTGTTGCGTTTGGGTCCGTTCTGTCTGAAACCACAACAAATGTGACCCTGTGTCACAACCTGAGGGACAGCAAGTGAATCGGTCAACTGTTATACTTAACGTTCGCTACATGGCACGTCACATATTGTTTATTTTATTTATAGTTTATGTTCTATATGTATTTATTATTTTTGTTTTTGTAATTTATAACTGAACTGAATGGCCTTGATTGGATTAATCTTGTTATGTCATATTTCAATGTAAACTTTTTTGATTTTGTTGTAAACTGCTTTGGCAACACTGTTTAAATGAAACATTCATGTCAATAAAGCACACCAAACTGAACCGAGTTCTATGTAGGGTATTTATAGGGAGCTT